TATCGGCAGATATCCAAATTTATGATATCGGTATCGGACATAAAAAGTGGTATCGTTCCACCTCTAGTTTATATTGTTTTAAGTCTTTTTCCTTTTTTTTATATTGTTTTTGATTTCTGTCTGGGTTTGTTTTTTGTTTTTTTGGATGGAGCTCATGCCATGGTGTACTTCTACAGTATCAGAATTTAATCAAACACACAAAGATCACCAAGTGGATATTAACTCAAGTTGTGCTCAGCATCGTGTTTGTCTGTACTGAAGATAACCTGAGTGACATGAACACAGCTGTGGAGGTTTTTGTTGTTGAGTACTTTGATGTTGTATTAAATGGCCACCAGATGGCAGTGAACGCCTACATTTATGCTGTTTTCCCAAATAGCAGAAACGACAGTTGATCGTCAGTATGAAGACAAGAGACACTCACTTTTAAGTCAGAGCTGTCAGAGTAGGATTCTCGAATCTTTCTAGCTCAATCCTGATATTTACTTTCAGTTTATATCATCCTACAGGCTGGGTATTTTGGAAAGTAGTGTTTTGCTTATTTATTTATTATTTTCAGCTGTTGCAAAAATGAAAACTCAGTATTCTGTTTTCAAAATGGCAAAAACAACAACAACACATCTTTGTAGTTTTGCAGTGGTGCTGTTGTGGCTGTTGGCTTGTCTCATAATCATTGTTATTAGAACAGAAATACAGTGTGGCTACATACTGTAAAAGTAGTCCAAGTAGTCTGGAAGGTGCATATAGGGATTTTGCTCAGTACAGATACACACAACCAGACTATTGTTCCTGACTAATTGTAGCGAACTAGCAAAGGAATTATTAAAACCTCTGAAGCTTTTAACATTCTTCGTCCTGAAGGTGTACCTGGAGCGCCTGCTGACCTACGCTGAGCTGGATATCTGCCCCGCCAACTGGAAGCGCATTGTCCTGGGAGCCATCTTACTGGCTTCTAAAGTCTGGGATGACCAAGCTGTGTGGAATGTCGACTACTGCCAGATCCTAAAAGACATCACTGTGGAGGACATGTAAGTTGTACAAGGCTGTATCCCAATTCAGGGTCTGCAGCCT